GAGCGCCCCCCGGAGGGAGTCCCCAGCCTTGCACAGGTCCCCTCCGAACGCCTCGCTCTACCCCGGCAGCTCGCCCAGGGCCAGAGCCCCAGCACGTCTCACTCTTGGCAAATTGTGGGGCACGGGCCTCCGAGGCACATTCCTCCCCGCCAGCCTCCTACAAGGCTGCCAGCCCCCTAGCAGCGGTGCATCTGGCCAAGTGGGTCAAATAGACCCCAGCTACCCCCGCTCAGACTTGATGGCTACAATTCATTGCAGGGAACAAGCATGTAGCAGTGGCCTACAACACCCCATGCATTGGTGTGAAATATTTTAGACTGATCACCATCATGATTGCACATTATTTTAATTCCCCATTTGCTTGGTGTGTATTTATTTGACCCTTGGTACACATTCCATGCCCTTTTAAATGTGTGTATTGCCTTCTGCAGTTTGTAAAATTCTTCTGGCATTGGTGGACCTGGAATTTATATCACTGTTAAGTGTGTAGTGATAGAAATGTAGCTGTGTTAGTCTGGGGTAGTTGAAGCAAAATGCAGGACAATGTAGCACTTTAAAGACTAACAAGATGGTTTATTAGATGATATGAGCTTTCGTGGGCCAGACCCACTTCCTCAGATCAAAACCTCAGATTTTGATCTGAGGAAGTGGGTCTGGCCCACGAAAGCTCATCATCTAATAAACCATCTTGTTAGGCTTTTAAGTGCTACATCGTCCTGTTTTGTGTTTCAGCTACACCAGACTAACACGGCTACATTTCTACCTCAATCCCGTACACATCTTGCTTTAATTGATGTAATCTTTTTTGTTAAGGCATGCCCACTCACCCCCATATTCGGCAGGTACGCTGGACAATCCCTAGACTCTTCATAATCTGAAATTGTTGATTTCTCCTGGGAACTGAAACAAAAAACAGGACTGTGTAGCACTTTAAAGACTAACAAGATGGTTTAATAGGTGATGAGCTTTCGTGGGCCAGACCCAGCAAGTGAGTCCTGTTTTTTGTTTCAGCTGCACCAGACTAACATTTCGACTACTATTCAACATCCTGGGAACTGGGCTGTAAAAACCAAGCAACAATTCTCCCTGGGGCTCACGAATGGAATTGTATTTCATTGCTGTGCCAAGTAAGAGATTCGCCCAGCTGCTTCAGGCTGGTTTGGGATTAACTGTGAAGGCAGCTTTGCGCGAGCACACCCACACCCGGATCAGCCCTCGCGCAGAATCCTTGCTGGAAACGTGGCGTTCGCAGCATCGCGCTTGGCATCTGCGCTGGCTCACAGGGCCGCTGCCATCCGCGGAGGAGTGGGGGGGAGAAGCCAGGCTGCACGGGGGGCGGGGTGCACAGTTTGCTGCCGGGCGCTCTTTAACCCTGCCCAGCTGACGTGCGGCAGCGCACGGTGCCGGCTGGGAGAGAGATGGAGGTGCAAGTGGCCCCCCTGCGACCCTGGGAGGATTTCTTCCCCAGCTTGGAGCGCTTTGCGCGGCCCGATTTCAGGGACGTTTCCAAATGGAACAACCGGGTGGTCAGCAACTTGCTCTACTACCAGACCAATTACCTGCTGCTGGCGGCCGCCGTCATCTCCATAGTGGGGTGAGTCTGGGTCTGTAGCCGTAGGGGCGTCCCTTCTCTCCCACCCCCCTACGCGCTGCAAGGAGGGGCGCTCAGGGGTTGCAAGCGGGGTGCTGTGTCCCTCTGTTAGTGGGAGAGGCAGACACGGGGGTGAATCGGAGCGGGGATCCAAACCCTGGTGGCCGTGTGAACAGCTCGCGCACCCATCCCTATGGGGCAGTGGTTTCAGCTGAGCTCGCACTACGGAAAAGCTTTCTGAGACAAGCGGGCTTTCTTTAGTCTCCCTTCGGTCTGCAGCTGCATAGGCCCGATGGCCTGTGTAAGTAAGGGGCTGGATGTATTTAAGGGAGGTAGCAAACGTACAGGTTTTCCCCCATATATAAGCCGGAAGAGTCTAGTTCTTCATCTGGTATAGTTATTCTCCCTTCCTCCCCCAAAAAGGATATGACTCACATTTGCTGGTGTGAGGTGGTAGGAGCCCTGAACAACTTCCACCTAGCTCAGCTCCTTCTTTCTCTGTGTTTGCTAATGCCCAGCATGCATATTGGCTTGTTTTTGGAGACTTAAGGAGCTAAAACTTAACATCCAATCAAAATCTTCAATTTCCGCAATCTCCAAAAACAACATTGCGTTTGTGAGCTGGGTGTTATAGCTCTCTTTCAGTACCTCCTAGAAAGAGGAAAAATACGGCCTTTTCCTTTACAGGGATCTGTTAAGTGCTTAAAAGTTTACCAGCCCTACTGTAGAATCGGGCAAATAGAAAGTGAAAGGGGTGGGTATGTGATGTGGCTGGCTGCTGGTGGCTTTTTTTTGTTGTTGTTCATAAACTGTAGGGAACAAACTTTCTTCCGTCATGGTATAGTACCAATTGTGCCTGAGGTCAGAACAGAGCTGCAGGTTTATTGAGGGGGAGCAGATCAGTCCCCAAAACAATCAGTAGTGGAAGTCCTGTTTTTGATAGGTGCATGACTGAGACCCTACGTGCAAACCATTCTGGTATTGATATGATCTGTGAGCATAACAGCAACCTGGAGCTCTCCTGCTCCTGAAGAACAAATATTTTGACCCCTTTCTGAAATGGGCATCTGCTATGCTTTGCCTTAGAGTATTGCTATAAGACTTGTGCTTAAAGGTGTCTTTGAAGCAGATGCAGAAAGTAGAGAGGATATAAAACCTCTTCATTTACTAACCAAACCACTTGCAATTACCCTGCCCAGGCAAGTAAAGTAGCATCACTTAAAGAACAAGTAAATAGGGGGAGGTGAGGATTATCTGTCTTTAAACCTATGAAATCTCTTTTCTATAGCATGTTGTAGAGATGCCATATTTTTCATTCTTTATCAAGCAAAGGACCTTCATGAGTCACTCCTTGAAGCCACTAACATACATGGCCTAATCTGAAGTCCCCTGAAAGTCCATGCCATTTTTTTTTAAATGACACCCATGACATTTGGATCAGACTTTTGAGAGGTGATGTAGAATTAATAAATGTGATAGTTCCACCATCACTATGAAAAATAACATGACCGCACAGAATCGAATATCCTTCATTCTTCTTCCTGATGTAAGCTTGAGGGCTGCTGGTAATTGGGAGTACAAGGAGTGTTGTCTGGTCAAGTGACTAGTACATGGGATGGGTACTGGGTTGTTTTCCCAGCCTTGTCACCTTGAGGAAGCTACTTTGGGCATCTTTAAACACAAAAGTTACTGTCCGACTTCACTGTATCTTTGTTAACGATTGTCAAGCTCTTACATAAGAATGGCCATACTGGGTGAGACCAAAGGTCCATCTAGCCCAGTAGCCTGTCTTCTGACAGTGGCCAGCACCAGGTGCCTCAGAGGGGGGTGGACCGAAGACAATGATCAAGTGATTTGTTTTCTACCACCAATCTCCAGCCTCTGACAAACAGAGGCCAGGGACACCATTTCTATCCCCTGGCTAATAGCCTTTTATGGACCTAACCATGAAATTATCTAGCTTCTCTTTAAACTGTTATAGTCCTAGCCTTCACAGCCTCCTTTGGCAAGGAGTTCCACAGGTTGACTACGCGCTGTGTGAAGAACTTTCTTTTATTAGTTTTAAACCTGCTACCCATTAACTTCTTACTTAGTCTAAAGCTATTTTATCATGCGTAGTGCAGTGTCTACTGTTTAAGTAAACCAGTGCAATTTTGTGTGTTGTCCAGGAGTTAGTTCTTCGTTACCTGAGGCTCCTAATTAACAGTTGGCTATGAAAGGCAGATAACTAATTAGTTATATTTTACTTTGCAGCCAAGGATCTCAAAAGCACTATGACCTGTTTGCCCTTATCCACACAAGGCTCAATTGCTCGATCTTCTAGAATAAGGATTATCCACCTGTAAATGGAAGAAAAAAAATCACACGCTTCTCTGGCTCTGTGTGTTTGCCAATAAAAACCCACACCCAAGGCGGCATGATCCATCCCCACCCCATCCCTTTGGCCTGAAATCTTGCCCCTGCCTCCCAGGGCCCCCATGGGAGTCAAGTCCACCCCACTGTAGGGGGAGGCCACTCCCCAGCATGTGGGCACAGGCTCCCCAACTACAGTAGGGCTGGCAGCATAGCCCCAGCCTTGGTGGGGGCTTCAGCCATAGGAAACTGTGCTGAATGGGGTGGGGAGCAGTGTGTGTGGGGTTGGAGGGGACAGCTGGGGACCTGCTGCCCATATGAGATGTTCGTTATTGTGTATAGACTTTGCTTCTCAGGCGTGCTGATCCTGCCACCATTTGATCTTGGATCAAATCCTAATGGGAAAAGTTCACACTTCGGAGTGCGCATGTCATAACGCTGCACTTTTTGAGACCGATTCTGACTGACTTCGCATTCAAATACTTGGCTAAGTGGGAAAACTAAAAGCTCTGCTGATAAATCATAGACTTAGTCATTTGTCTAAATTCTTCATGCTTAAATGTTCAGCGGGCAGCAATCCAGCACTGCATCATGACTCAACATCTTCTAGAAAACCCTTTTGAAGATGAGGTTTAATTTGCACAAGAGCCTTGACAGGATTGTGCAAAAAGGCCATTGCAGTGTGTGCCAAATTCTCTCACTATCAGCAGGACTAAATTAGTCCCAGGGTCAGCTGCCTTTTTTTTTTTTTTTTTTTTTTTTTTTAAAGAGTAGCCTTAATCTGATTCAAGATGGGTCTGTCTTGTCTATGCTTGACAGTGTAATAGTCAGGCAGTTGTGGTGATGGTGTCAGGCCACATGGGCTGTGTGTGTTAGGAATTATATATCTTGCATATGGCTAGTAACAGTCATAACCTCTTCTTTATGGCTGTACATTGACTCTCCCAATAAAATGAATTGAAAGTAGACTTCCAAATCTTGAGTGAGTACAAGATATCTGGATTAAGGATCTGTGTCTCGTGTATCCTTCGTTAGCTCACTGTAAAATTGCAATATTAGCACTGTATAGCTTCCCCTAGCTTAAAAGAGAACTTTCAGATGATCATGTTCTATCCGAATGCTGATCTTAAATACTTGAACCTCTATAATCTGGAAACACATGCTTCAGGCCCTGGCAGGGGGAGGAAACAGCAGCTCTGTGTGCTGCCACTTCCCCTCCTCCACCCCAACTCAGAAAATGGCTTCATCAGAGGCTTTTCCCTGTGAGGGTGTGGAGCTATGTGGGCCCGTGGGAAGGGGGTGCCAGGTAAATGCCTCCTCCCCTTCTTCCCCCCCCATGTCCAGGTGTTCTTCCTCCTTGGCCCTATTGCTATAATTCAGACTTTCCTGAGGTAAGATTACATGCAAAGCCAAATAAGGTGACAGGTGTGACAGCTGATAAATAAAGCACATGCTCAATCTCGCTCTGTTCTTAAAGCATCCCTACTTTAAAAAGCTTGACACTGTGCCCTCAACTGTTCTCTGCCTGGGCTCATGTAAAAGATCAAATTCACTAGAGCACTGTCTGCCATTCTTACCTTACAAACAGGGCTGGTGCACTGCTAACCCTTTGGGGAGGGACCCTCATTTGGAAAAGTTCTAGGGGGCTCCCACAAATTAAACTAATTCATGGGGGGAGGAGAGCGGGGCTGTAAGAAGTTGCTTAATTCACTAGCCTTGGTTCTACTTACAAAAAGACTATTTGAATTCTAAGCCCAGATTTTTTTTTGGTGGGGAGAGGGACAGTAGCTAGTCTCCCTTCTCCACGGAGCTGACTCCCTTCTCTTTGGCCTTTTTTAAAGTATGTTGATTCATATTCTTGACCAGGCCATTTTGGAACGTATGCTTCCAAGATGACACGTAGCACGGTGTATGTGTCTAAAATCTAAACCGTGGATTGCATGTGTACTCCTAGACAAACCTAAATGCCTGTGATGCTAACTGCAAGCCATCGGTTTTAGAATTCAGATTTCAGTAGCTCATCTTAATCTAATCTCGCTGGCCAGCCTTCTTGTACAGCTATTTATAATTCCTCCAGCACCGCTGTACAACAAACATTCAGCCTGTAGAGCTGGATCCAATAAACCAGAGCTCGGGAACCTTTTTTTTGAGTTGGAGGCTGCTGACCCACAGAAAAATCAGTCGGGGGCTGCACACAAAATGAGAAGCAAAGCCCAACAAAAACCCTCACTAATGCGGTCCCCAACTGAGAAGGGATTCCCCCCTCGCCGACATACACACACATTCTCCTCGCACACCAGAGCCTACAGGGGGTCCAGGCTAGTAGATTTGTGTGCTGCAGCCCTGCAGTGAGGGAGGGGAGGGCTGGAGCACCAGCACGGGCTCACCAATGCTGGGGGGTGCCTTGAGCCTCAGGGGCCAGATGGCCACATCTAGACAAGCCAGGGGCTGCGTACAGCCCCCAGGCCTGAGGTTCCCCACCCCTGCAATAAAGCCATGCTTCATAGTGATCGAACTAATTCTGAGGCAGACTGAGCTCCTACAGTGCTCGCTCAGACTAGGCCAAGGAGGAAGTCGGCCATCCAGTTTGAGGGTGTGAATACTGGTCAGTTCTAACATCTGTTTTTCCTGCATTCTTTCCTACTGTATCA